TCAGTTCTACTTAACTTAGTTAATAGTATGCCCAGACGTATTGGTGATGTGATTGTAGGGAAAGGAAACAAGATTAAAGGTTAAAATTTCGTATATTTATTTACTATATCTTGAATAAAGTTTATGCAAAATTTCAAACAAATTCAACTGTTAGTTACCAAGCTGTCAGTTTATTAGTAATTCTCATTACTTTTGCACAGCACTGTATATAATAATAATGAATTTTATATCACCATTCGAATTAATCACTCTAGTACTCAACCTCCCAGACTATTTACGATCAAGTGATCAAGTGTTTGGTGTTCGAAATCTAAGTTGTACAAGAACGTCGCAATTTATCGACTGGTTTACCAACTAAGCCGCATTTACGCATTGCAATCCCAATAACCAGGAGCGAAACTTCATTTTTCTGGCTCGAGGGACCTGAAGAACGTGATGGCGCGTTAGCTCAAATGTGGAAAAGAAAGCAACGACGCGGAGAGAGTATCACTAGTTATGCTAATAATCTCGAACGAATTTGGAGTAGATATACCAAATTCGATTAAACTCAGTCAGTTCATTGGAAGGCCTAGTTAAAGCTCAAAACCTGCAAACTATCGCTGAAGCAATAGCTGCGAGTAAAAGAGTACAATCGGGAGGAAGCCACGCTACGTATTATAAAATATTATCATATCGAATAATCGTTTGCTAGTTCAGGCTTTCTTGTTCTATACGTTCTTGAGTACAATCTAATGCTCAGAGTAATTGTCTAGTTACGCCGTAAGCATACCGTTGTTATCTCCATCTGTTCGATGATTTGTCTGGATACATAAGGTTAACAAAGTTTGATTTTATCGTTCAACGCAGGGGATACGGTAAACTTTAATTCGATACAAAGACGATGCCTGTAAACAATTTTTGCCATTGTTGTGTCGAATTTGGTAAACCAAGAACTGATCTAGAAAGCCGGGCGATTACGTATTTGATGCGATTGTCTTGATAAAAACAGACAATAAAATAGTTAGAGTTTCAATAAATGTTGCACAAGATTACTATCATATAATCTCATATCGATATTACGTAAATTGCTAACACTACTCGAGTTAAAGCCTCTCAATATTTATCAAACCATAGACGATAATCAAGCGAAGACTTGATACTCTATACACAACCAGTTGATATTGTAAGAATTCATTTACCGTCTTTCATGACAATTTCTGAGATATTAATATAGTTTTGATTACAGAACTGTGTGGTTGTGACACAATGCAATGTCAACAATTAATTTAGTTACACTACGCTTTTTACATTATCTAATTTCAAGACAGGGACAATCGCACAAACGAAAAAAAAAAGCATTCAAAAACTAATCTGGAAATGATATACACGCTTCGGCCATTTATTAAAAAATCGCCACTATTCCGACTAATTTTATGAACAAAGACTACAGTTATTGATGCAATGCGATTCAACAGACAAACGACGAGATGCGGTGCAACAGAGATAACTACTCCCGAGTTGGAAATTGGTGATATCCGCATTATCAATATAAATTTCGCGATGTGATGTGCTTTGCAATCAAAACATCTTCGATTTTGTATAGCTACAAGCAAAATGTCTGGAAAGGTAAATATAAGTTTCATTTTATATTGTTTCAACGGAAATTTAAACTCATATTTAAACATCGTATTAGTCGTCACAGCGTTGTATTCTTGCCATTGGACAAACGGGACTGGGAAAAAGCTTCACAGCAACTGTTTTTGGAGCTAAAGGAGTAAAAGTCGGACATACTAGCGAATCTGAAACCCAATCGGTTACAGTTTATAAGATTAAAGACGGCATCTACATTGATACACCTGGATTCGACGATTCCGATGTGAATAAACATGACGACGAAACTGCGCGCTCGATTATTCATGTAATGGTAGAAGCAAAAGTTCCTCAAATAACAACGATCTTGTGGTTTGTAACACCTCAAACCAGAGCTCTAGGGTCGCTCCAGCGTCAAGCACGGTTTATAGAAACTATAGCGGAGAACTTTGACAAGAATGTGTGGGATAACACCATTATTGTCACTAAAGGGCTACAAATTGGAAAAGGCGCCTGTGAAGCGGCCAAAAAAGTAGCGCAAACAAAACATAACACTTCTGAGGATTTGCTTTCAGGCGTTGGCAAATGTAAAATTCAATTGTTCGAAAAGTTAGACGAAGAAGATAAAGGAACATACGGCATATTCACTAGCGACCAATTAAAAGGGTTAAGTGTTTTTAAAGAGACGGAACTGGAACAAATCCGCAAAATGTATGAATATCTAATGAATGGCCATCTCCAAAATCCTATTCCTCTTAAGCTAAACCCAGTCAAATGTTTGAATTGTCTCGAAATAGCTGATCCAAGGTTTGCGGGTTCTCGTTGTCATAAGATTTGCAAGGTTCATCCAAATACAAGTTGGAGCCATCGCGGACAATTTAACTATCAGCATACGGCGGGAAAGGTTAGCCGTCATTCCAGCTATTTTCATAACGCCACAACAGAAGAAGTGACGGATCACAGCGTTTGGGCATGGACTGGTCGCATCGTTACTTTAGGAATAGCAGATTTTAATAAACCCAAATTAGTACCCGGATATTGGAATTGCTGTCGAAATGATAATCCCAATTCATCTGGATGCGCGACATATTACGCTTGTTGCAACAGAGACTTGTCAGCGACAGGATGCATGAAGTATTATCCCGAATGCTCCCATTATGATAATGCCGCCCCTTGCTACCAAACGTGTAAGAAATGTAACAGAGAATCCGAGGAAAGTGGTTGCACTGATAGATGCAAATATTGCGAAACATACGGTCCGAGTAATGTAGAAGGATGTCAGAAAGTGGGCCATGGTGGTGTCGAACATAACTTCCCGAAGAACGTTAGTTAAAAAAGATAATGTTAAAGTAAGATTTTCATAAATATAGGGCAATGCATAAATGTTAAATTGCAAATTTAATAAATTTGGGGTTTAAAAAAGGCGAGCGTTGTTAAAATGCGCTATATTCACAATTTCCCAACTGTGAGTGGCCACACACTTATACATGCTAATTTATGGTTTATAATCGACATTATTAAAACCAACCTCCCCAAAAACCCACTACATAGTCAAACTCGATAAGATAAAGTCGACGGGCTGGTGGTATCGGTTTAAGCTATAGAGGTTTTATTTTATCGA